TATGGGGGGGTGAACATGTAAAAACCACCACCATGTAAAACCACACATGTTGTAGTGTTTTAGTGCCATCTAGTGAAGTGTTGGTGAAGTTCAAGTTCTTGCATTCAACCAAATCATCAATAAAGCAGACATTATTATTATGGAGTGGAGAAATAGTGGAAAGAAAAACAAAGTACAGACTGAGAATTGTAGTAAAACATCATTTGTGTCTTTTCCCCAGGCCTGTTTGGGAATTTGATTAAATTACATGGCTCCTAATGAATACCATGAATGTGTCTGTGTTAGGTCTATAGTAAAACCACTAAAACCATGACAAGATTGATGTTCGGGGAGATACTATGTTCATCGTCTGCAGCAAGAATTTTATCTTACTTAATCAACCCAGATTTAGGATTTGAACCTGGATTGAATAAAGTGTTATGTTATCTGATTTTGAGCAGTTCTGTGCAAAACAGATTGTTTGATGTTACTAGAAGAATTTATTGTTTTGAATTATAAAACAACCTCAGTATTTCTTTTGAATTTGCAGTTCTCCACACTATGTTTTGTTTTCTTTTTTTTATCTCAATTCTTTTAATCATTGCTACAATCTCAGTCTGCATTTTAGTAATCAGTGTGATCCCATGAAGTCCATTTATAGATTACAAAATTACTTGAGTTTCAGTTGTTTTGTTTGGTCAGTGGTTCATACGAAAACCACATTGGTCCATTTCCAGAGCACACAGCATTGCTCTATTGACTGTTAAAGCTACATTGCTGTAATTTGAATACTTTATAAACATCTGTCAGTCATAGTTCTGCCCAAAGGCTCCATGGTAACAGTAATCCAGTGAGTGGAGGGCAAATGAAAGAGTGAACTGTCTAAATGTTTCATTATGGGGGAGAGGGCTGGACCACCAACAGAAACAACTTAAGTGTTTTGTGATCTCTCTACTTCTTTTGCTCCATGTGTTGGGTGTAAATAAGAACTTGGGTGAGTGAGCATAGACAGTTAGTGCTACACCATCTCACTTTGTAGCCTTCTGAGTTTTTTTCTTCAAACATTGCCAAACCACTGTCTCTACAACTGTCTATCCCTACTCCAGTGAAAACCACTTACCAGGGAATCTCCGATCCACACACTCACGTTCATTTCATGGGGTCATATAGGGTTCAAAGCACTAGTGTTGTCACAATACTAAAATTTCAAACTCAGTTTCAATACTAAGGAGGGATAGGTTTGATACTTGATGCTGATTTTAATACCACAATAATAATAAAAGAATGGTCTCATACTAGCTAGTCCTGATAACATTTCAATTTCATTTTTTTTTCTTTTAGTATGTGTAATTTGTTTAACATCAACAGCGCATTTAATTCTTGTATCCATGATTTATTTGTTATTTAATGTTATTTAATGTAACCATATCACATTTCTAACACATTTGATGGGTTTTTATTTGCAGTGTGGAGTCAGTGAATGATGGTCTCTTTCACACTGTTGAGCTGCTCATTCAGGACCGCTCCCTAAGCCTGGTAGTAGACAATGGTGCCCCCAAGAGCATGGGCAAGCAGGCCCCACCATCTGTGGACCATAGCACTCAGCTATATGTTGGAGGTAATTATAGATGCTAGTTTTGGTAGATTTATTTGTCTTGTGTTATAGAGTACAAACTTGTATGTGTTTTTTCTAACCAGATAAATAATAGGTAGCATTAACTATTTTTCAGCATGCATCATCTGACAGCTGGTGCCTTAATCAGCTGATCAGCCTGACATATCTGACAGGTCTGCCAGACAGTCTAGGGTGTGATTAGTCTAGCATAAGGAGAGTTTAAAATTCTCCTTTAGTCACTCCGCCTATTCTCTTCTCGCCATATCCAGGTGTGCCATCACAGGTGGTGGCCTCAGGTTTGCGACCCGGTCCAGATCGCTCGCCCCAGACTTTTAATGGCTGCATTCATAATATCCAGATCAACGGGGAGCTGCAAGACTTGAGCTACCGGAGCACAGGTGGAGGACAGGGAGTTGAAAGCAAAGTAAGTATACAACAAAACATGGTATACTAATATAGGCAAAGAAATGTCCTCCTTCAAATACCATTCGGTTGTATCAAATTGAGGTACGTGAAAAATAAGAATGATTATAACCCAATTAAATGCACAAATGTTTCACACATATATTGATTTTAAAATATTATTTAGTTCCTCATCAGTAAAAAAAAAAAAAACTCTTAAGCAGCAAAAACAATAAAAGCAAGTGAGTAAAGATTAATCTTTCCTGTTGTTTTTTTTTTTTTCTTCTGTTTCAGGTCAATGGAATTCTTCCAGGCTGCCATTCGTGCAGTGTATGTGCCCAGGGTGCATGCAGAGAAGGAGGAGAGACAGGTGTGACATGTGACTGTCCCCCCGGACGCACTGGGCCCTTATGTGACCAAACAAGTACAAGTCCAAGCCTCTGTGAGAATCACAGGTATATTCACTCACAGATAACCAAGAAGGCACTCAGAACAAAAACTGGCAAGCTTTGAAACTCTGGTTTGGTTCCCCACACAGATGTGTTCATGGAGTGTGCGTGCCTAAAGGACAGTCATACAGCTGTCAATGCAGTGAAGGCTACCAAGGACAGTACTGTGATCGGCGACAGGAGCCTCCAGCCTGCAGGGGGCGCCGCTGTGGCCATGGAGAGTGTCGAGTGACTGAGACAGGAGAGCCGGTGTGTCATTGTCAACCAGGATACACTGGACCTACATGTGACACAGGTTTGAGCCTTATTTTTGATAGAACCAGAGATCAAATACTGTTCAATATCTATATTCAATTTATCATTTAAAAAATTGCATGCTCAGTTGAGCCAAATTTGTGTCTGCCTCCACTTCTAGAGTTGACATGTCAGGGAGAGATGGTGAGGGAGCAGCTGAAGCGACACCAGCCCCTGAGAACATGCACATCCACGAGTAAGATCCCCCGCATGGACTGCCCCCGGTCCTGTCAGGCCACAGCGCCCTCTGGTGTTTGCTGCGGCGTGACAAAGAGTAGGAAGCGAAAGGTAGTTTTCCGCTGTACTGACGGCGCCTCGTACTCAGAAGAGATGGAGACGGCTCTGGAGTGTGGCTGCTCCAAGTGCCTGTTGTAACAGCACTGTTTATTTCTACCCTCGCCGCTGCCATTTTGTGAATTGTTCCTAATATTCTTCACACTGAACTCTGCGCTTCTGTTCGTCTCCATGTTCATATTGACCAGTGCCAAATTGCTGCCAGGAGAAACCACAACTAAACAATGGGACATGTGTGCGTGTTTTTTGACAGAGGAAATCTATTGTAAAATATATGTGAGAAAACATAGAACTTATTTTTATTATGGACTGAGTTGTTATTTTAATGTTGATTATGTTATGTGTTACATAGTATGAAACAATATTTTGTAAGAATAAAAAGTATATTGCTAATAGATTAACATTCTGAAAACTATATAATTTTATATGTATGTATAAATCTTTTAAGTACCTAATCCATTGAATTTTGTATTTTGCATGATATTAACGTGCGTGACAACTTGCGGGAGGCTTTGGACTTCATCTTTTGAAAAAACAGGTGCCACACCATCATTTCCTTCACATTTTGGAGACTAAAGAATCGGGTTAACCGGCTTTACCTCCATGGACCTTCCACTGAGAAAGACTCTTTCCACAGAGATGATAAACAAGGTGTTTTAATGTCCTCCACTGACAGTCTGATACAGACATGTTTGCAATTCACCTGACACCACATGTACCTCACTTGTGTGTACAGTACAACTGAGTAATTAAGGAAAATTAAACCAATTCACAAATGTTGTCAAAAAAAGTACAAGTCCACTTAATAATTCTCTGATTAATGTATTAAACCAAAGCTAAAACAAAATGTGCCTAATTGAGTCTTATATTCACCATGAGGTGCCTTAATTGTACAATGTACTTGTATATTGATATTGCATATCAATTACATCAACTTGTCCATAAATGTGAAAAGGCAGTGAGAGCAAAATCTCTTCATATCAGTATTTTGTCATGTGTCATATACCCTTAGATCATGACCCTTCAGTGTTTTCTTCAAATTAAAATCTTCATGCTAGGAATTCAATTGCAACCAATTTTACCGGACAAACCTTAAAATGTTTTAGGTACAGGAGTGAAAATGTGTAATTTCTGTAGGTGCTGCTAATCTGTTTGGGTGAAAACTTATATAAGAGAGCAAACACTAAAATTGAACAAAATGATTTTTGCCTGTCGCGTCTCGCCTTAATGTTATTCGTGTGATGTGGATTGGATACATATTGAATGTATAAAAATTAAACCACCGACTAAAACTCTGTTTTTGACTCTTTTTGTTGGCCTGCCTGGTTAAATAGTAAATGTCATAAACATAAGTAGGCCTGTTAGATTCTCATTCATGTGCTTTAAATTCACTCACTTAATGTGTCCTGCAAAGGTATGTAACTGTTTTTAGGACTACAGGAAGGCAACCTTTAATAATCAGTAATCTGGAGATGCAAAATAAGAGTGATCAGCAATCTCATTGGAGGATTATTATTTATAGTTACCTAAAGAAGGCATCTATCACTTACGTTTGAGAGTCCTCATCCTCATTATATTTATTCAAGCTCTGAAAGACTGACAATAGTTAAGCTTACTTCACTATTTCTTATTATGTCTTTCAGTGTGCAGATAATATCAGTTACTTACTACTGACTCATTCTGAGTCAATAATTTACCTCTGCTTCAGACATATACCATATGATAAGTTAATACATGTGGTTATTGCGACTATGCTTTAACAGGAAACAATAATAGCTGTTGCTTCCCCTATGTGAACAGAGGAAAGTGTTGGAAGCATTGCATTACAAAAGTAGTGATGTTACTATAATACTATAAGTTTGGAGTGTGGTGTAGTAAGATGGTTGGTTTACAGGCAACAATACTGTTCCTTAATATGTAGTGTTTGAAAATAGTACTTACAATGTGAATATGTTTAGAGGGTATTTATTTAATAAGTTAAATGATATTGCAAGTTCCACTTATTTTTAGTGGGGTGTTTGTTGGTAGGAAAACCTTATTTCTTCTTCTGGTCAGCAATACATGTCTGCAACAAATAAGAATTTCCACTTGGATATGAATAAAAGTAATTCCCATTCTGATTAGGAGTCTGAGATTATTAAAAATCCTAACCAATACCTGACTGAAGAGTTTGTCATAGAGTATGTTTGATTTTTCCATATGTGACTCCAGATCAGCCATTGTGTCCTTGTCCCATGCTGTTAAACTGTTAAAAATAAGAGAGGATTTATGAATCACAAGGTATATACAAGTACTGTGGCTTACGAAGTTTTTCACACCCCTTTCATTTCATTCAATCTTATTATGATGTATCCAGATGCTTTTTTCCTTATAATTCTGTGTTCAAGAAAACTTAAAACTTTAATCAAGATTTGCCAATTTTGTCCTGATATGGAGAAAAAAACGCCTTAATGAAAGTATTTAATTCTCATTTGAACAAGATCGAAACAACTAAGAGCTGGCTCTCCAAACAATGTGATCCATTAGAGGAGAATCACCTTAGTGAGAGAGCTGAAAGAGCAAACTATAACACTACAGCATTCTGACCTTTCTGATAACTGAGTCTTGAGTCTTGGTTTCAAATGCTCAAACTGATTTAAGACATTCAGCAGTTTGCTCAAAGCATATTCAAATTAAATTTGAAAGTCACTGTCACTCTTATTAGAACTAACGGCTGCGTAAACTTGAAGGACTTGAATGGCTGAGAACTACATACTTCGTTTTCCTGTTTTACCTGTCACAGCTGTGTGTTTCCTGCAGAGGGCAGCGCAGATCTGTTATGTCATCAGTTAAAGTCTTCTTATGTTTTTGAACCTTCTTCTGTAAGCTTTTGACCTGTTGCAATAATGCATTCCTCTCCTCCACCAGCCCATCTTTAAACCTGTGTTTGAAAAGAATATAGATCAGAGTTCATTTGATCTATATTCAAATTATAAATCAAATGACAAAAACGTAATTTAGTATTAGCCCACTGACTAAAATGTAATTCAGTTTTAACCAAGAGACTTGGTTAAACAGCCTCAAGCAGTCCTATTAGACCAGCGTGACATAAATAATTATTAAAGAGAAAAAAAAGGCAAAATAATTATTTAGTCAGTAACTGTCTAGACAAACCATTAAGCATGCTTCATGCTTTTCCTTCTTGTATACATGACCAGACACGCTTCTTGAGTTACATGGCCTGGTCTCTTAGATTGAAAATGAATAAAGCATTTTTCATAGGAGCTTTGAGCTGGACTTTGCTATTGCTACAGCTTATTTAGTCATAATTTAATTTTATTTTCTGTTTTTGTTTGGTTTTCATCTGCAGAATTATTGGTGAAAACTAGCACACCATATATCATAAATACAGCAATATTCTCTTAATGTGCAATCTAAAGTAAAGCATAACCAACCTTTTGACACAACACACCCAGTATCTCTGCTGCTGACAGAGCCATTCAAACTGCTCTGCTGTGGCCTGGAGTTTTCTTAGGCTTCCATCGTTCTCCATCTGCAACTCATGCACCTTCCAAACAACCACAACAAGATGTTATAGGTGAATTATTAAGTAGGCCTCCTAGTGACTTTATTACTCTAGTGATTCAGCCCATTGTATGCAAGTTTGGGAGTGACACTTTGATAACAGAAATTAATAAAATAATGATACTACTAATACTACTACTACTACTACTACTACTACTACTACTACTACTAATAATAATAAATAATAATAATAATAATAATAATAATGATAATAATAATAATAATAATAATATCAACTAATGTCAATACACACTGACATTAAACATACATACATACATATGAAGCTGTAACATTTTATTGAAAGTTGTGAAAGAGCTATGTGTTACAGTTTCTAACCTCTTTTTGATGAGAACTGTGCTGCTCCTTTAGCTCCTGCACCAGAGTGTGGTTGGCCTCCTGCAACTGCTCCAGCTGCCACGTTTTACTGGAATAAAGCAGAAGACACAGTTTGTAGGTGCAAAGAACATTCATGAGATGTTCAGAGACACCTTGTGGCAGTTGGTGAAAATGCAGTGATCTTACCTGTGCAGCTCTTCTTGGAGGCTCTTTGCCAAAGAAACTCTGCGTTTGGTCTCATTGTGTAGTTCTGCCTCCAGGCTTGTCACAAGGGTTGCTCTGTGGTGGGCCTCAGTGTGCAGCTCCTCCACCAGGCCCTGTAGTCTCAGCTCGGAGCTCTGGAGAAACAGCATTTCTGACTCAACTTGTCGAAGCAACTCTGCATCCCGAGAGCTCTCCTCTGTTAGAAGGCCCAGGCGCTGCTGCAGCACTTCTACCAAGTCCTGAATGGGACAGACACAGTACTCAAATGATGGAGGTCATGTAAAGTACTATAGTACAACTAGTGCTTTACCAGTGCAAAATAATAATTTGTAATATTGATCTCTGTCTGCACCAAACCTATTTTTGGCAGTGCTGTACCAGCAGAACACTAATGTTAAATGTGTGTGGAAGAATAAGTCACACTGCTTCTCAAATGCAAGGTTCCTTGCCTTGGTCTGCCCTCTGTAGGCATGGGTCTTCCATTTGGTTAAAATGTAAGTAATTTGCCAAGAATACAGAGGTGTGCACTGGTGAAATCAAATGTAGCATGCCAATGAAAAAAACAGTTAGTGATATGGACATGCATTGCTTTTAAAAGCACTTAAAAACAATATCAATAGTACAGCTATTGTAGCTTGTAGGACACAAATAAACAATTTAGCAGAAACCCCTTTGGCACCTCTTCTCTGATTCCATAACATAAGTTACATGAAATGAAAATCACAACTTTTCTCATGAATAAATTTGTGGCATCTATAATCACATTTATTTGATACACCATCACTCTGAAAAAATGAAAACATTTAGCAGCCCTGTTTCACACTGTTGCCTTAGGAGCACTAGGCATTACACTAACTGAACACAGAATGCACAGATAATAAAACATATTTTTGCTACTTTGCCTAAAAACCTAAAGTGAATATCCAGTTTTCCTGAAACAATACAAGCATGGGACACAGAGGCTGACCTGCTGCTGCTGGAGCCTGCTGATGAGCTGGTCCTGCTTCATCCTCAATTCCATGTTAACCTGTTCTTGTTGGAGGAGTCGAGTAGTCACTGCCTCCACGTCCGTCTGGAGCTTTCTCTCTCTGTCTCTGGACACCACAAACTCTCTGTCCAACATTGCTGCCAAACAGAGCAATAACACACAGAGAAAGGTTTAACTAGTCCTTTTATATTGTGCTGTGGCAAGTCTCCTCATGCTTTCCAAACAAAATGAGGTGGTGACTGTTGAATATTTGAATGCAGGTTTTGTTTTTGTATCTGTATAGTGTGAATTCTCCTTTAATTTATTTATTTTACAGGCACAGTGTACGTTAATAAACATTATCATCATCCACGATTGAACTAAAATCGAGATCAAAAGGAGAATTGACAAAGCAAAAGCATTTGTGTTCAGGGTGATATTTAAAAGTTGATGCTTTGTAGTTCTTAGACTGTGCTCTGTTTAGGCTCTGATTTATATTCATCATGGTGAAAACCAGGGCATAATATGGCACTACAAATTAAGACAATAAAAAAATCTTAATAGATTAATAAGACAGTTTAAAAATATGAACAGAATAATAGCCTTCATCTAAAAATATTTGCCCTGACTAATATTTCACAAACAAAAATAGGACATGGGTTTACCATTTTTATGACAATGCTGCAGATGCAATAAAGTTTGACTTTTGGACATACTATGTGATCAAGTCCCACTACAAAAAGCACTTTGTGTAACAAATTACACTTAATCAAAATAATAAACCCTTACCTTTGTCATGTGCTAAGCGTGTGCATTTTGCGGTTAAATGCTGGATCTGGCTGTAGTCTTCCTCCCGGTGTGCTCTGAAGAACCTCCTCATACTTTCCTGAGTGTAAATATGTGTAAACTGGACACGTTGGAGCTGCTCTACTGAAGGTTTCGTGTCTTCACTACTCCTGGGGTAAGCGGGTGTGTTCCATATGGCCACAAAGGACAGACTGTAAAAGACTGACACAAAACCACACTTCTCATGCATGTGCCCTGCAGACCTGAGATATAAAGGGCAAGTTTAAACATTAATCAGAGCTTCTGTTACCACAACACCTTCTTAGGATACAGCACCATGCATTCAATCTTTCTAAGGCATTACCATGTAAAATACCATGTCTATGTGTAAAATGATGAAAATTCAAAGTAAACTGTAATTCAAATGACATACAAATAGTTTGAATTTGCCCTGTGAGGATATGAAAGCAGTGGAGCTGTGCCAAAGAGGACATGTTCTATCTAGCTACATAGCACCCTGAAGCTACACATTTTAGGCTTGCCCTTTCTAACAAACATAGATACTAAGCCTAAATTGATGCAACAGTCTCACTCTGACAGCGGCACCACCTGACGAACAAAGCAACAGCCTTACATCTCCAACATAAATTTGGTGGGCCAAAAGAACTTAAAAAGGTATAACTTTAGCTTCCACATCAAACAACAATACAGGAGTCTAAATATATTATCAGAGACTAGTCAAATTTGTGAATTATAAAAGTCTAATAAAATACAGATAGCATTTTTGTACATCATGCCCCATTTGAATGAACAAAGTTAATGTAATGTTAACTATTTAATATGAAGCATCGGTATCAATGTTTATTCAACTCAATTTAATAAAAGCAATTCAAACAAGAGAATGTTTAAAAATGGCATTTATTAAAAAAACAAAACCACCATGCTGACACCCGTCATAAAAGGTTCAAAACATAAAATTTGTAGAAAATGGCATTGGACATTGACTAAATGTGTCAAATACGTAAATATTATCCTCCTTCAACTGAGAAAATAAAGAAATAAAAGCAGGAAACCCATTCTTCAAATACATCAGATTCTGTCACATTTGGAGACTTCACTACAGAAAATGAAAATAACATTAATTAGCTTGTAAGGATTTGATTCTAATGTTCACACATCTCATGAACACGAGTGGCCTGTCCAATCACAGGCTTCCACCACTGAGTACACCACCAGCACTGTTCACACAACCACAGTTCAAAGCAAAGCACAAACCAAGCCAGTAGTTAAACAGCAGCCCTGTGGCAAATGTGTGGACACATCTCTTATAATGGTCTCATACATTCAGTGCCTTTATGCAGTGGTCAACTTGCAGAAAGGTTTTCTTTTAGGAATGCCAAGAATAGACTTGCACCTTTACAGCAAGCATGTTTTAAGTCTAAAACCCAAAATCTTTTGATAAGTGAAAGTAACAATATAATGCCCATAATGGCTCAAAAGTATGTTGTTTGTGCCCATAGCACTGGTCATCTTTTATCCAAGTTAACACTAATGGGAAACAAAAATGCCAAAAATTACCAACAGAGTCCCAGTGAAGATCTGTATAAATGTGGCCCTAGTCAGAGGTTACTATATGTTTACATATGGAAGCTTTTGGTGTTGAGACAGTAATGAGAACGGTCTTTTAACTTTGTATATTAAATTACATTGAAAAGAAAGGCTTTTGTGCATCGGTCTACTTTTGAGCACTGGCAATGTGATTGTTGATTTTCTATTTTTTCATTATACAAAAACTGTGCCTGTAAATGTCCTAGTTGAGGTCAAATACTACAAATGTCAATGGGCTGTAAAATGTAACAAAAAATTGCAGAAATCACTTCATATTCTTAGTTGAAATATTCCGTTGCAACCTTTTTAAAATATTTGAATAATTTAATTGGCAGCTTTTTGCATATACTGCACCTGATAATATCTAAAAATGCCAATATATTGCCACCCTCTACTTTCCATAGGTTTAGCCAAACTTACAAAATCCGTGCTATATAACCAAACAGAAATTGGGCAATATTTCAGAACTATAACCAGAACAGCAACAGACATTTTTGCTGGATTTTCTCTGTTGCTGTTTAAAGTCAAATAAGAAAGTTCACCTGACAAGGAAAAACACACCTGATACCTGTGACAGATGATAGAAGTCATGGCCAATTAGCAAACGCAAGTGTACATCTGGACCTAATGTGCCACATGGGAAAGCTTATGGTTGGATATAAGTAGCCCGGGTCTTAACTTGTTGCTGGTAAGGCTGCTCCTGTCTTTGAGCTAATCCTGTGCTAGCTCATCTGCTCTCTCGATCTGTTAGCAAACTCACCAGATGCCATCAGAAGCAATAAGGGAAGCAGCCTGCGTCAGCTTGGACTTCACAGTCAGGAAAATTTGATCTCAGAGTATCAAAGCTATTCTGCAAGTTTAGGGAGATCAGGTAAAATCTAACAATATGATATAAACAACCAACAAATGAACCATATCAACAGAAGAGTGATGTTAATAATAGATATTCAAATCTGTAGCTCAAGTATAAATACCGGTGAAATAAATAGAAAAATATAAATAAATAATAAACGAGCAAAAAATTTATTCCAATAAATCCAAGCAGCAAATGACCTAACAATTTGACCTAAATGGAAGTATATCCAATATGCTCTGTTTAAAAAAAAGTTTTTTGTTTTTTTTTTTGTTTTTGTTTTTTGTCAAAATGTACACTTTTTAAGATTGAAGAAACAGGTCCAAATCAAAGTCAGCATTACCCATCCAATTGTTCAATATGATGCAGGACGGAACAAAAATATTGCACTGGTTTGGTGTGAGTCTATGAATGGGCAGTCACCATATAAATAAACAATGTAAACCCAACATTAATACATTAATAATAACGCTAATAAAACAGTTTCAGCTAAGGTCCTTCAGTCTCTCCCATTTACCACTGCTGCCAACTGAAGTCGTCATTGGACCCAAAGACCATGAAGAATCCCAAGATGGTCCCGAAGATGACTATGTTTCCAGTTAACACAAGTGCGCACGCCCCCCAGGCAATCTGTGAACCAACATGTAAATAATTCACATCAACAAATGCCTTGCATGTTGCTTCGCACCACACATGTTGGTGTCAAATACCACTTTAGAAAATACTTCTATTTAATCCTTTTTTTAAAATTAAATATTACAAAAGATACACATTCTAAATTCAACACAGGGTATTTTTAAAGAAATAATTACTTACAACATCAGCCCTTGCAAAGACAATGGGCAGGCCAAAGGCTGAAATGACAATGCCTGTTGTGAGGAAGATTGCCAGCTCTTTACAAGCATTACTGGCTGAGTCTGTGTCATCAACAACCCTTCGTGAGATGCAGTATGGGACTGGAGAAAGGATGTAGAAGAACAGGAGAAACAAAGGCCAGTATTTACTGCAGAGAGACAGAGAGACTTGGTTATTGGTTATATTATGCATATCTGAGCATTTCCATTTCCTAAAATCACAAAAAACACAAACACGTTTATTCGTTTGTTTATTCCACTAGCCGAACAACTGTACATTGAGATCTCACGCATTTTAAAACTGATAAAGGTAAAACTATGCTGATGGAAAGCTTCTTGATAGGGAATATAAATTAGTAGGATTTTGATTCAGTATTGCTGCTGTCTTTGTTACGCTATTGACTGAGACTTGAAGCTCAACCAAGCAATCATTCACAACACAGGCATGTTTGAGCACATTTTCATTACTGTTATCACGAGAATCCAAAAATGTTAAAATTTTCAGTTCTGACAATATCAGTCACAACTTACTCATACACAGGGAGCGCACATCCAAGCATGAGAAACATGAGGCCAATGGCCCCTCCAAAAGAAAGGCTGATGAGAGCTGCAACACAGGAGCAAGAAGACTGAAGGTGAGATCTACATATGTGAGGTATTATACAGAAGGTTATACAAATCGTCGACATTAGCTCAAATGTGTGATAGATCCCACATGAATACCTCATGATTAATGTTAAACCCTAAGGTTCGCTAGCAGTTGGGGCCCCTGGCCCCAGAGCGATCATGTGATGAATCAGCTGCTTTCACGTGTTTAAAAACAATATGCACCAATGACATATGAAAAGATAAATAGGTGGCCCTGTACATACTATACTTACTGGGAGAAGTACAACAATATAACGATTGTGTAATTACATAGGGTGCTGTTAGCATTAGCAAACCAACGGCACATTGCTAACTGTGAATAAGAATGCATGGTCCCTCAAGACAATGTGAAGATCACATACTACAAAAGTTAAATACCAAGAGGCATATTTGTCCATGAAATCATACGTAAAGAATATGTACATGATACGATAATATGACTTGAATATACTGGCCCACTGGCACTGTATTTCAGGTTACCGTTAGCCTACCGGAATACGAGCGCAGAATACGGTCTGGAAATCTGCTGCACATTGGTAAATAGACCGCAGTACACCAAGATTTACAAGGACGGGAATATAAAAGCACAGTTTCAGTTACCTTTAATTCCGGCCATTTCTGATGGACAAAAGCTCGACACTCAGCCCTTAAAATGACAACAGAGCCCCCTCTTCAAGTGAGGCAGGTTGACTACGATGCGCACACTGCACAGCCTGGCTGCGGCACCGCTTCACGGTCATCGGGGTATGGCACTTTACGCCAGAAGCATGCAATTTATGTGAAGAAAAATAAATATTTACAAGCCACATATTTTTGGCAAATTGTTTTCTGTTAGATTGAAAAAGTGTTAATGATAATCATAAATAATTCTACAAACATATTTTTAGCAAAAAATAAATAAATATATTAAAAAAAACTATTGTCACTGAACGTATACTTTCCGGATTTTTAAAAAATGTTAGTAGCGTTACTAACAATTAAAATATACTTTATCTATACGGATTCTTTTTTCTTTTTTTTTTACATTTATGTTTACTATAATTAATATAAATCGTAATTAAGTTGTTAAGTTGTTCGTGGTATTACCGGAAGTGTACCTTGAGTTGCTCCGTCACCTCCTGTCCCCTGTTCATTCAGTGAAGATGGCGAGCGGAGGGGTGGCTGTGGCTTCGTTGTGGACTGAAGTTAACCGTTGTGGACAAAATGGAGACTTTACAAGAGCTCTTAAGGCTTTAAGTAAAAGTGAGTCTGCATGTTCTTCAGTCATGTGTAATAAGACTTGTTTCTATAACTATATGACGCTCAAACTCCGCCGGAGTTAGTTGTGGCTAAGCTAAGTTCAACAGCATGATGACCATCAGCTGTTAGCGTGTGGCTAGTCTTGTCAGCACCATGTTATAACGTACAGTTGTTACACTTGCTTACTATCACTTCAATTACTGCATCCTTCCAAATGGGCGCATCACGTGCCACAGAAGTCCCATTGTTTTTCCTCTTCATAAGGGCATTTCTTGGACAGATTTTATTAATGACGTGTCTCTCAGTCAGTTCCATCAAACAGCAGCCAATTTTGAGATGCTATTTAAATAGTGTCGTAAATATTGTTGATTTGCACAGCAAAAGCTGTGTGCTTGGTGCATTTAATTTAGACTGTTTTTATGTATGATGTATGTGTATATTTGCAGTATTACAGGAGAACAAGGAGGATGTCACTGCTCTTCACTGTAAAATAGTTTGTCATGTTCAAAATGGCAGTTTTAAAGAGGCTTTAAATGTCATGAACACCCATTCAAAAGTTCTTGGCAGGTAGGTTGACTGAAGAATTATATTTGTGTTTGACAACTTGCTTCTAATTGATCTGTTAAACATTTACTTTCAGTGTGGTTCTGTTTGAGAAGGCATACTGTGAATATCGGCTGAACAGAGTGGAGAGTGCCCTGAAGACCATTGAAAATGCCCCTGAACAGACTGACAAGCTGAAGGAGCTTTATGGTCAAGTGGTGAGTTCTTGTAGTAATAAACATGCTAATAAAAAAACAAAAAACAAAGGCATATTATAATGTTGTTTTGTTACACATCACTAGTTGTACAGACTCGAGCGCTATGATGAATGCAAGGCTGTCTACACTGATCTGATCAGAAACTCCCAGGATGAGTATGAGGAGGAGAGGAAGACTAACCTGGCTGCTGTGGTTGCTGCCATGAGCCAGTGGGAGAAGGCCCCTGTGGTAAATCTCTGAGCTTTACAAATGTTTGTTGGTTGTCAAAGCAAGAATGTTTTATTCAAATAATGCTCATCTTTATTCCTTCAGGAAGACCTAGGTCTTCCAGAAACAACATACGAGTTGTGTTACAATGCTGCCTGTTCATTGATTGGCCAAGGTCTGCTCACTGAGGCTTTTAATAAACTTCGAGAAGCAGAAGGTTAATCAAGATTTTTTTTTATGGCTGCAAAATGTCAGGAGTAAAATCTTATTGCCACTGTAGTGTTTTGTTTGTAATGTTTTACGTACTTTTTTCTTTTTTCAGAACTTTGCCGTATTTCACTGGCAGAGGATTCTGTGAGTTATTTATAGCAAGATCTGTTTTCTTCTGTTTATATACTTTTTTTATATATATTCTTTTGTCATTCTTTCTCAAAGGATGTGACTGAAGAGGATATTGAGTCAGAACTTGCCGTCATCCATTCTCAAATGGCTTATGTCATGCAGTTGCAAGGCAGAACAGATGAAGCTCTCCAGCTCTACAACCAGGTCATTAAGCTCAAGTAAGTGTTCTGTTTTGAAATTTTGGATTACAAACATAAACCCTTGCACGTTCAAACAGACTTAAGCTGTGCTAAAGTGTTTGTACACTGTCGTGCCCACATTTCGCAGAGGTAATAGGGCCTTACTGTTGACTGTGGGCCAGTTGGCTGTTGCTCCAGAGGAGGGGTGGCTCCCTGTTCGTAAAGCTTTGTGTACTCTGTCATGTGCTTTTGTTTCTCTTTTCCTTTCATTTCCTTTTAAAGTGCATTTTAGATTGTGGACACATGGGGAAAATGTCAGCATGTTTATTGTTGCAAGTGCTTATTTTTCAGATAGCTTTGATTTATAAAATCAAAGCTATTCCACTGACAGTGACGCAGACTTTAATGTATGTACTGTGCTAAGCAGAGCTGGGGGACAGCACCCAGAAATCACAGAGGTGCACTGTTTATGCTATAAACACTCAGTATTGATTTCACACTAGATCAGATTTGTTTATAGGTTAATTTACTGGCTTGTATCAAACTAAGTGACATCCTTAATTGCAGGCCATCAGATGTTGGGCTATTAGCTGTAACCGCCAACAATATCATCACAATAAATAAGGTAAATCTGTCACAGAGTAAAATGCTCTCCAGTCAAATTAATTGTGTGAAGTTGTTTTTATTTATAAGTGTGTTTTTTGTTGAAGGACCAAAATGTGTTTGACTCGAAGAAAAAGGTGAAACTCACTAATGCTGAGGGTGTAGAGTACAAACTGGCAAAGAAGCAGCTGCAAGCCATAGAGTTCAATAAAGCTCTCTTGGCCATGTACACAAATCAGGTAATATTGCTACTTGTTTACAACATTACATTACTGCATAGATTCTTACCCATTATTGGTAGTCTCTGATACTATGTATACTGTGTGTTTTATTTTAGGCTGACCAGTGTCGAAAGTTGTCCTCCAGCCTTCAGTCTCAAAATCCAGGTCATCCTCGACCAGTCCTCATTCAAGTTGCTCAGCTTTGCAGGGAGAAACAGCATGGCAAAGCTATTGAACTGCTCCAGGTAAAGTGACAGTCTCAATGCATTTAATTTTATTTGATATTGGGCAAGTACAGATTTACATTCTTATACATTGGAACATATAACATAAGTGAAATTATAATAGAAATAAAAATAACCACAACAAAAAATTTTGCCCAAAAAGGAGTGGGAAGAGGAAATGCTTACAATTTTTCAGTCAGAACAAAAACTGAATTTCTATACAACAATAATAGATTGATTAATACATCCGCAGCCTAACTATAGACTTTTTTGGGGAAAACAACATATGGTTATGGTAAGCCACAGAGCGCTAAGCTGCCTGGTACCTTTATAACGAGCAAACGTGAAAACATGGTTTTCTCTTAGCCATTATCTTGAATACAATAGACACTAGAGCCCGACCGATATGGATTTTGTTGTTGCCGATATGACACCGATATAATGGGAGTTGGTGCTGCTGATAGCCGATATAATCGCCAATATATTTAGTGATGGATAAATGCACTGTAAGTCTTGAATTATTTAAAAAAAACTTAGGTTTGGCTCTGGTGTTTTTTAAACTGGGCTTATTTAGGCAACATTTATTGTTATTTTGCCTCTTTACATGATATGTCATAGGACTAAAGCAGGTCTAAGGCAGGTCTAAAGCAGGTCTACACCAGAACTGAACCAGGACTGAAAAAGGACTAAACCAGTGCTAAAACAGATCTAAACCATGTGTAAAACAGGACTAACCCAGAACTGAACCATGACTGAGTGTCGGGACTCGGTCTCTATCTCTCTCCCTCTCTCTACCCCAAGATTAGTCCTGGTTTATTTATTTTATGCTGAATATATTTATGCACGTTTTTTCTATCCTATGCACACGCACATTTTTGAAAGTTTCGTTTTTAGCCGCTGCCGCTGTCAAACTACCACGAGTCTGCACGCGGCGTGAAGAGAAAAAAAGAGAGAAAGAGAAAACACGACTCCCAATCCCAATAAGGATCAGGCTTCCATCGTTCGCTTCTAAGAGCCGGCTCTAAGAGCCGCTTCGTTCGCGACCGACCCATCACTACTAGCCTAGCTAGTAAATAAACAATCGCTATTAGCCTTTAGCTGTAAATGCTGCGTGCCGCGGTAATTAATTATATGCTCAAATTTCATAATTCACACGTCTATTCACAGCTCATTTACATATCAGTGCAGGTCCAATAGCAAATATACGGCCAATATAGTGACTTTACAATAGGCCAAAAGAAAACAGCCTGTTTTTGTGTGAGAGCTACAGCAGCTAATCGCTAACCTATCAGAACGAACCAAAACTAGCTTCAAAGTCGACATATTATCAACACTCACCGCTCACACAGGCTCCTCCTCACATCACAAATTTGCACTAAAAAATGTCCTTTTAATCCAGACTCAAACCGATTGTCCGTAAAAAGAATATAATCTCAGTGTTGCGCACATGGATCTATGTCTGCGGGGGTAAACAAATGCACGTGACTCTGGGGGTGTGTTCAGGGACAGTACGGACACCCATACTGACAAATGACTCCGCAGATAAATACTGATGCGGAGCCACATATTAGAACATTTATCTGTCTGTAAATTGGATTAAATTAACATAATGTAGAGAGTCTAAACTTTATAATGAGGTATAACATGCCCACGTGAAATATCGGCCCCTATCAGCAAGCATATCGGCTGATATGCTTCCAGGTGCTCATATCAGCCGATAATATCGGCCAACCGATATATCGGTCGGGTTATAATAGACACCTAATCATAATTTAAAATCTCTTGCTGTACGTGTCTTGTTCAGTTTTAAAAGGTATTGTGTAAATTTGCTTCATTGCCTCTGTCTTACCAGGCCTTATGTCAATTTTTCTTTCAGCAATTTTCAGAACAACACCCAGAAAGTGCATCTGGCATAAAACTAACCATGGCACAACTTTATTTGGTACAAGGTATAGTACAAGCACATGCAGAGCTTTTTAACTT